AGGAGGAGCAGGAGCAGGAGGAGGAGGAAGAGGAGCAGGAGGAGGAGGAGCAGGAGCAGGAGGAGCAGGAGGAGGAGGAGGAGCATCAAAGAATAAGGAACAACACTGACTCTCCTGCCTCCCACCGAGTTTTACTAACTGGCATAAGAGAGCACTTCCTTGGTGTGCTTCCGAGAGGTGGCTCAACCTTGGATTTGGTTCCAATAAATTGTGAAAATTCTTGTCCACTAAGGAGCAGGAGGAGGAGGAGCAGGAGCAGGAGGAGCAGGAGGAGGAGGAGGAGCATCAAAGAATAAGGAACAACACTGACTCTCCTGCCTCCCACCGAGTTTTACTAACTGGCATAAGAGAGCACTTCCTTGGTGTGCTTCCGAGAGGTGGCTCAACCTTGGATTTGGTTCCAATAAATTGTGAAAATTCTTGTCCACTAAGATCCCCTGGCAGTGCAAGTAGCAGATTGGCAGGCCCCGCGCCTCCACTCCCTGTGAGATTCTGTTTCCTGATTTTCCCAGGAGGATTTCTGCACTGCCTGGATGCCAATCTTCCTGCCTCCCCGCCCTCCCCTCCCCCTCGGCTCCTCCCCTCACGTCCTCCGACCCCACGAATCAAGAATCGTAGACCCACTTGTTTTTACAAGATCGCCCAGATATTTCACAGGGGAGTCGCACATGAATAGTGCCCTAAGTGGCGGCCACCTCTCAGGGAGACCCCGCATTACTACAGCAAGTGACTACTTATGCACCCTGGGGCCCCGGCATACCGCGCGTCCCACCCGCGAACAGGAAGCCCGCCGAGACACCCCCACGCGCTGCTGCGCCCACTCGGGGCGCGGCGACTGCACCCCAGTGTACCCCATAGAGGATGCACCCCTCCATCCCTGCCTAAGCTACTAAACCGAGTCCGCTGATGAATGAAGAGAGGCACAAACAGATTCACTGACTTCGAAAAGATTCTTCCTCTCCTCTTTCTCATCTGCAGATGAGAACACTCAAAGGGGGGAAAGGCTGTGTGACTGGGCCTGGGTTTGCCACACAGCGTTTGTGGCACAGCCCGATTTAGCCGCCCTTGAGTTTCCATTCTGTTGCCTGGCAACGGGTTCAGCCGAGCTCAGCGCCCAACCCCGACCCTATCCCGCACCCTTTCCCTGCCCTTGCGGCTCCGGCAGCTCAGATTAAAGCTTCTGCCTGTGGGGACGAGGGCCGGGGACTTGTGAGCAAGAGTACTGCATGGATTACCCCGACGGCCTGCGACGCTGCCCCAACAAGCGCGAGCCCCGCCTGGCTAGGGCGGGCGCGCTCCGCGCTCTTGAGGGACCTTCCTCCGCCACCAAAGTCCTCTTTCCCTTAATTCCGTAGATTCCTGTGAAAACACTCGGGCCAAGTTTCCAAAGTTCTCGAGTGCTGTAGGAGTCCCTAAAAATCGCGGTGGGAAAATTAGCAAGGGGGCAAAAGAAGACAGTTCAGAGAGGAAGGCGTGTTGGAAAGGCTTCTCCTTCCAGGGACAGCTACTCTCGGGGACTTTTCCGCCAGAGCCA